CCATAGTAACAGATACTACAGCAATGTGTGATGAGGCATAAAAGCCAAGATGGAGTCAGACAGGCCCAAACTGGGCCCGTGTATCAGGAAGTGCCAAAGAAACCTAAAGGTGAGCATCTACAATGGTTAGACTTCATATCCCATCAGAGCTGTCCCCCACATCCTGGGCCTTAATTATAATTTCAGCACCTTAAAGGAGTCAGACTTATGAGCCCTGCTCTGTAGCCAGCCTGTGTCTACAATCTGAGGGAAGAGTGGCCCAAGCTCCTCCTGATTTCATTTGGACACCAGACAAAGCAAACATATAATAAATGAGCCCATATAAAAACATGGCTCCATACACAGAAGTCTTCTCCACACCTGCTAATGCTCTGTCCCATGGCTTCAAGACAATGTGCATAACACTTAGCCTCAACTGGGAGCCAGTTAAAATTATAGAAGCTTGGGTCCTTGCAGATCCAGATATTTATCTTTCCACCCAGCCTTGTGGCAAGACAAATTCACATTTGCTGAACATGGCACTAATCTCTTCCCAGAGTTGCTCACCCCATACCTATGCTGAAGAACTCCCAAGGCAAGAAAAAGTAGAAATGGAATTCATTTCCACATTCCTCTCCCCAAAGTCTCAAACTGGTAATTTTGTCTGACCCATGGTTTCAAGACACAGAATATAAACTTAACAAAAATACAAGTTAGTTTCTAGCATTTAGAAAACAGATTATACAAGCCAGACATAGGAGGACAAGGTCATGTGATTCCACTTAGATGAGACACCTACAAAAAGCAAATGTAAGCCAGGCGCTGGTGGCTCAAGCCTGTAATTCTAGCTACTCAGGAGGCTGAGATCTGAGGATCATGGCTCAAAGCCAGCCTGGTCAGGAAAGTCCATGAGCTCCTTCTCTCCAATTAACCACCCCAAACCAGAAGTAGAACTGTGGTAGAGTGCTAGCAAAAGAGCTCAGGGACAGTGCTGAGGCCCTGAGTTCAAGCCCACAACTGATAAAAAAAAAAAAAAAAAGCAAATGTGTTAGGGCAGAATGTGAAGAGAGATTCTCAGGGGGAGGGTACAGAAGAGGGGAGTTGCTTAGGTCTCTGTTGGGGCTGATGAAAATGCTTTGGTAAAGACAGTGATGATAGTCATAGGACATTACAAATATATTTAATGCCATTGAATCTCACTCTTATGAATAGCTAAAATGATAAATATTATATAAATTTCAATATGATTTTAAAATTGTGGTTTCTCGAAAGACAGACAGAAAAAAACAAAAAGAAAGAAAGAAAGAAAGAAAGGAGGAAGGAAAGAAAGAAAGGAGGAAGGAAAAGGAAGGAAGGAAGATCTAAAACCAATGAGTCATGCCTTGTTATATCAACAGTTGGGGGCAACTGAGACACTACTGTGCTCTCCAAGACACCTTTATCAGGCCTGCCTCACTTATTCATAAGCGTGCATTTGGGAGGCCCTAGATATCCCTTGCTTTCTTTCAGTCCCCACTAGCCAGGTTCTGCTCTTGGAGCCTTTGCCTATTTCACCTGTCTTCCAATTAATGATAGAAGGCCAGAAAGCAGTCAAGTCAGCAAGCTCTTCTCATACCATTACAACGGCAATCAAAGCCTATGAACTACATTGCTTGCTTTCGCCTCCTCAAACTTCCCTCAGGTGACCCTGATAGGCCTCTGGTACCAGAAGATCCAAGAATGATGGTGTGGGCTTCACACTTAAGTGACCACATGTTTGGATCAAGAGTAAGCTGACCACCTGCCTGGTTCCTGAATCAATCGCCGATTCTCTCAGCCAAGCTGGGTGGCTCTGCATGACCAGCCAGTCCAGCCAGACAGCCTTCTCAAGGCTGGAGCCACTTTCCTGGAACCTTCTGGAGCCTATTTCCCCTTCTGGATCATCATTACTGTTCTAGATCCGCCTACTTACTCCGGGAAAGGAAATGCTTTCCCAGAAAGGCATAGCAGGTAACAAACTTTCAAGGAGTCAGTAATGCAAGACATGTAAAGGACTAGGCTCTTAGCTCATTGGTAAGAGCACTTTACCTAGCTTGCACGATACGAATCTTAATAGGACTTTTTTGGTCTCTCTTCTTTTTTTTTTTTTCCCTTTTCTTTTTGAGACAAGGTCTCCCTAGGCAGCCCATGCTGGCCTCCAACTCCAGGTCTTTATGTCTCATCTCACTGAATGCTGAGACTATGGGTGTGTACCACTACACCCAGCTGAAGCATCTGTTTTGATTCTTACCTCAAGAAACGGACAGAGAAGGTAAAATGGTATTATACTGACAACATGTTGAAGAAATAGTCTGGATATATTAGGTTAAAGAACATGTTAGTAAAACTAATTTCCTTTGTTCTTTATTACTTTTCTACATTTACTAAGAAAATTTACTTACCTATGTGCTTGAATATATGGCTAGTATTGTATTTCTATTGAACAGGACTATTCATTTACTTATTTATTTTTGTGTTGTACTCAAGGTTAAGCTGTCCTTTAGGGTTTTTTTTCTTTTTTTCTCAAGGCTGGCACTCTACCACTTGAGACACAACTCTACTTCTGGCTTTTTACTAGTTAGCTAGAGATAATACAGATGCTAAGTCTCATAGGTGTTAACTCTGCAAAAGTCAAAATGAAGTCTGCAGACAGAGACACATTATGCTGCAGAAAGACATCTGTTTAGTTTTGTGAAATCTTTTTAGGAAGCTGCAAAGCTCCAGATACTCTGTTAATATTTCTCCTCAATTGCAGTTATGCTTTACCTAGAGGCAGGTTGAAACTCACAGAGAAACAAACACATGGGGGCAATTGTTTTGCATAGGGTTGAACTTAGCACAGAGGATTAAGTCAGGAGGAGCAAACTAAATAGAAGTCTTCACAATGTAAATATACCTGGGGTGGGGTGTGGTGAAGGGAGAAGGGGCTCTAAGTATAAAAATTCTTAGCATTTCTTGACTTTGGGAAAAGGGGTGGAGTGAGAAATGAATAACTAATTCTATTAAATTTTAAAGACCTATCTAGTATTAAGTTTCTTTACAGGTGTGCAAGCCGAGATGTGGAAGCCTCTTTGTACTTCCTAACTGACAAATAAATATGACAAATAAATATTATCAGAATCTCCCACTTGAATGGTACCAGGCCAACTGAGAGCGCTTCCTCCAGCCTGCAAGTCTGCCTTCTGGTGGTCTGGGATTGTGTGACCTTGCAGAAGTGCTGTTCTGCTTCCAACCTCTGAAGATGAACAGTCCACCCGCCAGCCATCACCCCACCCCCAGCTTCAGAGTCCAACCCCATGTTTGTGCCACCTTAGAGAATAGAAAATTGAGAAATGTCATCCTCAATTCCAGAATGGTACTCACCATAATAGCCACTAGTTTCATCTCTAGCCCTTCAATCTATTCTTTGGAACATTCAAATTCCTGGGTACAAACCCTGTAAGGGATATTTTAGTGCACTCTGTGCTCAAGTCCACCCGTTTGCTTTCATTGACTGCATGCGCTATTCCCAAGTACAGAACTCCAGGCATGGGAAAACTTGAACTCAAGTTACCTTCCTGGTAGTAAAATTGAAAGGTTAGAGTATTTGAGGCAGTGACCATTTGTTGCTTGTTTCAGAGCAGAGCAACACGTGGTGCTAAACCACCTGGTTGTGTGCCTTTATAAGACCTGCAAATCCTTAGCTCGGGACTCTCCTCCTGGGCTCTGCTGTGTCGGAGTGTAGGACGAGGCCCGAGTTGCAGCCCATTTAAATAAAACAGCTGTAGAGTCTGACTCTTGGTGGTCTTCTTGGTGGGGGTCCTGCGACCTTGGCATAACAAAATCTAACAGAACCAAAACTTTCATTTTAGAAACGTTTTGGCAAGTTCCTGTCCCAAATGAACATTTCCTATATAAGAAGACATATTTTGGGAATGACATCAACAGGTACCAGAAAACAGGCCTATGAGAACTAAGCATTACTGGCCACCTGGTGAACATGTAGCCAAGATGTGCTTGGGAAAAAGTACAAGACAAAGGCAGTTGTTTTGCTCAAAAAGGAACCCAGAAGTACGTGCCTTGCCTTTGTGGAGAAGGCTAACTCACAACATGCCCAAGTGTCTGAATCAGAACCACTTTGAGACAAAAAGAATCGGGGTTCTACTTCCCAAAGAAGAAATGAGAGAAGCTGAGGGTGGGTGGCTCATGCCTATAATCCTAGCTACTCAGGAGACTAAGATCTGGGAATCCCACTTTGAAGCTAGCCCAGACCAAAAAGTTCCAAGTAACCACCAAAAAGCTGGAAGTGGGGATGTGGTTCAAATGGCAAAGTGACAGCCTGGAGCAAAAAAAAAGGCAAGCACAAAGTAAAAAGAAAAGAAGAGGAAAGAAAATGGATGGTTGTGAGCTTTAGATGTTAGGATTGTTCTTGGAAATTCAGAGTGAGATTTCTACTCCATCCCATTGCACTTAGCTTCAAACCCCAGAGAAGGCATTTGGCACAAAGTATTCTACTATCCAGGCTTCACCTGTGTATAAAAGAAATTGAGAATGGGGTCAAGCATCTTCAGGCCTGGCCCTGCAATTGTGTAGTAGAGGGCTATGGCACTAGAGGAAAGCTGGCTGGGTCTGCTAAAACCACCTGCCAAGTTCTGATGACATCAGAACAGTTTGAGGCCCAAGAACTCCAGACAAAAAAGAGCAGGAAGTCACAGGTGGAAACTGGTAGGTTGACACGGGTTCTGGAGGAACACTAATACCGCAGATCATGTTCTAGAAACGTTTCCTGCTAGGGGAGGAGAAACTATAGCTGAAAAGAAAAGGCTAACTGCCTTGGGTCCTTACTGACTTTACAATGTCACCAGCAGTCACAATCACCCAACCACACTGTCATACCTAGCTGCAAAGCCACCTAGAGTCATAAAGGTTTGTTGGCCAGAAACTCACAGCGTGTGCAACCTAACACATTCCCGCCGTGGCACCAGACCCCTTTAAATCCATCCCCAAACTCCCTCTTTGCCCACCTGATTGCCAAAGACAGCCAGGGAACAGGCTGTGGAAACTTCATTAGCCCCGAACCAGACGGAAGCGATGCGGGAGGGCATGCCCAGGATGAACACCTGGGCCACCGAGCAGATGACCTGGCCCAGGACGGTAACCGGGAAGAGGTGAGGCTGCAGGCTGCCCAGCTTCACCCAGGCCCCCAGGCAATTGAGAGCGGAGCCGAGGAGGGCGATGGTGCGGAGGCCGAACTTCTCCAGCATCCAGGTCACTGGCAGGAGCAGAGGGATGTAGGTCAGCATGTAGCACATGGACAGCCAGTCGATGGCAAAGGCGCTGACCCCGTAGAAGTTCCTGAAGATGTTATTGATGGAGCTGTACTCGATCCACTGAAAAGCGTTGCACATAGAGTAGCTGCTGAACAACAGGACCACGGCCCAACGGCGCGCGCTCAACTTGATCACGCTCAAGTTGTCCGGGCTGGAGAAGCAACTGGGCTGGGTGACAGCACTGGGTTGAGCCAAGGTACTGGGCAAGACCGAACTGCTGGGATGGACCGAGACGCTGGGGTGGATGGAGACGCTGGGGTGGATGGAGACGCTGGGGTGGATGGAGACGCTGGGATGGGCCGAGACGCTGGGATGGGGCGTGGAGGAGCTAAGGTTCTCTTGGAGCGAGGACAGGCGCGCGGAGTTCTCATCGCGCTCCTGCTCGGCGGGGCGTTCATTCACCATAACCACAGCCTCCCCGGAGCGGGGCGGCTCGCCGGCTCGCTCCCGCAGGCTTCCGGAGCCCCTTGGCTGGCCCTCGAGCTGAGGGAACCCTCGCCCAGGAGCGCAGCCCTCCGCGCCCCACGGGGAATCCGAGATCCACAGCCGGCGTCGGATGGGACTTGGCTGCGCTCACACCCAGACGCCAATCACTCGTCCACCCCGCGGCCACACCTGTCCCCAGATGCCGCAGCCCGCTTCCGGGCGTCCTTCGCCTTGGCCCCCTCCCGAGCCCCCCGAAAGACGTCCTCAGTCCTGGAAAAAGTTGTCTCCTCGGCACAGCTGCTCTGCCGGCTCCGAGCACTCCGGGGCAGGCTCGGGGCCTCGCCCCCTTGGGCGCACGTGACCGCCCCGCCCCCGGCCCGCCCCACTCCCCCCTTCCCTCCCCCCCCCAGTCCCGCCTGCCCTCCTCCCGCCCGGCCCGCCGGGCACAGCAGTTGTTTCGCCACAGTTTGTGTGGGGTGCATTCCTCCCCCACGCCCCGGGCGCCATGGAAACCGTCCGGTGAACCCCTACCTCCTGGTGCCGCCCCTGGAATTCATTTGCCTCCCCCCTACCTCCCAGTGACCCCCCTCACCAGCACCACCGGCCACTTAGGTCCCCTCCCCCCCCCCCGCAACCCTGCGCATTTCGGAGGTGAGAGTCTCCTCCCCGCCGGTCCGCGAACCCCGCGCGCCTGCCCCTAGTGCTCTGTGGAATCCAAGACGGTCCCCCGGCTGTCTCCCGCCTCCGCTGGGCTCCCAGCCCCCAGCCGAGCTTCAGGAAAGGGAGATGGGTGGATTTCTTCGTTGGGTAGGGGTGGGGGGGTTCAAGGGTGGCTGGGGTGGCGCGGAAAACTCTCTCTTGTGCCTGCGTCCCCGGAGCACGTGCTCTTATCTTGGAGATGTCCCATGTGAACTGAAGTAGGGCTATCTTTTCCGGACCGGGCCTCCTTCCAACACCGGGGGCCCCGGGGCGTGGGGTGAGGGGGCCTTCAGTCACACTGCGCGGCGCGGGGGACCGGGCAGGGGCGCCGGGCACGGGCTCTGGGCGTGGTCTCGGAAGGGATCTTTGTACCCACGTAGCCCTTGGCCGCCCCCTGCCGGTCCCAGTGCGCGCCAGCGGGTTAGACCCGTGACCCCCAGCAGCCCCAAAGCCAGGCCTGCAGGACAGGAGTTGTAAAGGGCACATTTTTTCCCCCCGAAGTTCAAATCTCCAGCTTGGCGACACTCAGGTCGCCCAAGTGTAGACCAGATACTCCATCTTTGTGCCTTGTCTTCAACTAGAAAATGGGGGTGATGAAACAGTAGTGCCTACCTCACAGTGAGATTGACTGACTGACTGACTGACTGACTGACTGAATGCATGCATGTAGGAAAGCCATTAGAAACTCCTAGGCAGATAGATAGTAAGCATCCTATCAAATTAGTCTAACAAAAAGCTAGCACTCGTTGCACTGTGCTTCACTATGCAATACCTCATTCGAACACCACAAGAATGTGGTCACTGTTAGGTTCAAAAAGAAAAAGAGGGTGAGAGAGAACGGACAGGAGATGGCTCAACACCAGCACAGGTTTATTGCTGGAAAATGGTAGCCTCCAGCCAAGGTTAGAGACGCACTCCTGCCTGATGGTCTGACCATTCACAGTGAGTCTGAATGCTAGGGTTGCATGGTGCAGTGGTCTGAAAGTAACTAGCGGTGGGATAAATGTTGCAACAAGGTTACAGCTGAGGTAGGGAGGAAGACCAGCCAGTGTATCTGCTCAAACTCCTAATTGTACTTTTTTTTTTTTTTGATCTGGCATCAGCCACTTGAGCTTATCTGGTTGGGGAGAGTGAAGTAGGAGTGTTAGTAAATCAAGGCACTGGGCCTTCAAGGACACCTGGCATTTGGATGTAACAGTTACTATTGCTTGCATGGTGAAGACGGTTCCTAGGATTTGATCCCAGGGCACACATTACCATCAAGCTAAGCCTCAGCCCTCTTGCCTCATTTGTGTGTGTGTGTGTGTGTGTGTGTGTGTGTGTGTGTGCTGTCTCTTAGCTCATTCACTCGATTAGTGCTGTAGTTTCACTTCCACCTTTTTGGGGGCCAAGAGTCTCATGGACTTTCCTGCCTGGACTAACTTTCAGCCTTCTGATGGCTAGGATTACAGGCGTGAGCAGGTGTTTTATAGATAAGCTTTTGGCTTGTTAGTTGGAAATGGAGTCTCACAGACTTTTCAAGTGTATCTCAAGGTCCCCGCTGGCCTGAATTCAGAGCCATAATTCTCATTCATCTGTAATCACTCTAGCTACAGCTCAGCTACTCAAGTTCAGTCTGTGGGCATCACCTGGGAGCTTGTTGGGAGGGAAGACCTGCCCCCCCCAGGCCCCACTTCAGAGCTTCTGAATTCAAGATTTCATAAGATTTGCAGGTGATTTGTTTGCACATTGTAGTTTAAGTGCAATTTGGTGCTTCCTTTCCCCCCTCTTCTGTAAACTTCCAGCCCAAAGTGACTAATGTAAAGCCCAGGGCAGTGATTAGCCTATGGGTCACACATTAGAATCACACACACACACACACACACACACACACACACACACACACACACACACACACCAGCTAAGGAAACTGAGGCTCAGAGAGGCAGGTGAGTTGCTCAGAGTCCCACCATGATAGTACTGCAGGTTTCTAGTCCTCATGGTTTCACCCAGGCCCTCTTCCAGAGCAGAGCTTTATTTAGTTTGGTGACAAATTCCAAGGGTTTAACTTGAGATTCCAGTAGTATTTGGTGTTGCTTTTGCAGTGGACAGACTCAGATGTGTTGTGAGCTTTGAATGCAGTCATTATTAGCTGTTGGATCTTGTGCAAGTTTCTTAATCTCTCTAGCAATCAAATGATGATCAAACATTTCTGATTCAAAGGATTGTTGTGAGTCAAGATTATTGTGCATGTTTTTGTTGTTGTTCTTGCTGTGGCTGGTGGTGGTATGGAGTTTGAACTCGGCCTTGCATGCTCAAGTTGCTCACCCAGCTGGTGTTCTACTACTTCATCCATGCCTCCAGTCCAGCTTTTTGCTTGTTAGTTGGAAATGGAGTCTCACAGACTTTTCATTCTGAGCTGGCTCTAAACTGCATTCCTCTAGAACCCAGCCTCCTGAGTATCTAGGTGTGAGCCACTGGAGGTCCACCAGCATCTATCTATCTATCTATCTATCTATCTATCTATCTATCTATCTATCTATCTATCTATCTATCTATCTATCTATCTATCGTCAGTCACAGGTCCTGAACTCGGGACCTGGGCGCTGTCCCTCAGCTCTTCAGCTCAAGGCTAGCACTCTACCACTTGAGCCACAGAGCCACTTCCAGCTTTTTCTGCTTATGTGGTGCTGAGAAATAGAACCCAGTGCCTCATGCATGCAAGGCAAGCACTCTAACACTGAGCCACCTGCCCAACCCCCTAATTGTTTTTAATAATAATGTTGATGCTACTCCAGCAGTTACTAGAGTATTTCTGACTCTGGGCTGATTCCCACCTGATAGGTGAAGGCTCTATAAATATCAGGTGGATGTTACATCAAATTTAATTGGGAGCTTGCCATGGGCTATGTCAATTAATATGTTCTATCTTATCTACCATATATCTCTAATACATCTTTTAAGGATTTCTTTCTGAAAGGGGCCTCTGGTTCTTGGTTCTATTCCCAACTACCTTCTCAAGGTTCTTGAGGGTATATCATGTGTTGGGCGGAAGCTTTCTGCAGAATGGTAGCAAAGTCTGCCCTCTGGTGGCCAGCAGTAGCCCCCCCCCGTCCCCCCCCCTCCCCGCAGTTAGATCAAAACTTGAAGTCAGAATTGTCACATCTACCAGCAAAATGGGCTTGTTGAGTGTGCCAGATGACTGAATTCTCAATGAATAATAATAAATAATAACAAAATAATAATAATAAATACCAAAGCTGGGCACTGGTGGCTCATGCCTGTAATCCTAGCTACTCAGGAGGCTGAGATTTGAGGATAGTGGTTTGAAGTCAGCCGGAGCAGGAAAAACTCATCTCTAATAAACTACTCAGAAAAAGTTGGACGTGGTACTGTGGTAGAGTGTTAGTAGTATTGAGCCAAAGAAGCTCGGGAACACACACACACACACACACACACACACACACACACACACAGCACAGCACATGTATTGTGAGCTTTGAATGGGGTCATTATTAGCTGTGGGATCTTAGGCAAGTTTCTTACTTGGACTTTGTAATGCCGCCCCTCAGATGTCACATGTGAAGACTACCAACTCATCAATATCTTGTCTCCCACCCTTCTCACAGCTGTCTAGGGACTTCTGGATCACTGTATATCTTGGAGCATTTAATGAGATAAACTACAGTACACAAGTCCTCAACCCTTGTCTACAGGCTCCAACTAAATTACACATTACCAGGAAGTTTCAGAAAATGAGACAAAGAGGCGATCTAACAGACCAGAGTGATTAAAAAAAAAACTAGTTCATAAAATGTTTTCAAAGAGAAGAAAAAATTCAGGTACAAACAAAATGTCATCAGCATTAACAAGCCTGGAACTGGAAGTCAGTGGAACAATGCCTTCTGAGGGAAAAGTATTTCCTATCTCAAATTCTATTCCAAGCTATACACACACACAAAAAAGGTGAGAAAGGAATCCAATCTTTTGAGTCATGTAGTTTTGGAAAAGGTATAGCCTTATCCTCTCTCTCAGGAAGCTGCTAAAGGATGTGCTCTACCAAAACAAGGGAGAAAACCTAGAAAGAGTAAGACCATACCATCTTGATCATATGGTCAAGGAATCAGAGATTCCAACACAAGAGGCAGGCAACAAGAAGTACCAAGCCAAAGAAAAATCCCAGGCGGCTAGACGGCCATGTGCCACAGGAAGCAGCCTGTTCAGCTTGAACAGACTTCAAATAAGATTTATTCAAAAAGATAGCACAGAGAGATTATGTTTGAAAATATTAAGAAGAATTGTACATAACTGGGACTGAATGAGAACTAGTGATTAGTACCATACATAGAGCTAAATAAAGAAGATAATATTAACTCTAGCAGAGCTATAAATAAAAAGGATAGAAGAAAATTCAGTGTACCATTCCAGAGGCTCATGGCCTTTCCTGCCTGGACTGGTTTTGAAACTTGTTTCTTAGATCTCAGCCCCCTGAGTAGCTAGGATTACAGGCATGGGTCACCAGCGCTCCCTTTTCATTTGGCAAAAACAAAACAACTTCCTGAATTTAAAAAAAAATGGAATAAAATTTAGTGGAGATTCAGCTATTTCACCAAGATC